GGAGGCAACTTTTCCTACTGTCTCTGTATTTGGCATCCAGCCTAACGTGCCACATGAGTGCTCATCTTGCCGCCCGTAATGAGCCAACTACTTGTTCAGTGAGCCAAGACGTGTTGGGCTTTTATATTGTTAAACCCTTGGCCTAGAGAAAGCCACCTTTCTCTGTCTCTCTCAGATTGCTAGGAGCATACCTCATAGTAGGCCCAGAACCCAGACTGCCTGGTGTAGGGCCCAGCAGGGCCAGGGCCAGTGATCGGAGCCCCGATCCCATGGTTGGAGGGGTTGCTCAGGATGAAGGTGTGTCCATAGGATGGGAATCCAACGATGAGCTTCTCAGCCGGGGCCCCGTTGTCCTTCCAGTAGTTCATGACGTAATCCTGCAATGGCAGCAGGTTAGAGACAGGCCCCACCAGGCTTAGGCCTGGTAATGAGTTATTAGCCCAGTGTTTGTGTATGGTTGTGCCTGCTGCACAGTGTTTTAAGAGCATCACTGGTGTACCTCTACTGAAGTGGTTTGTCCTTACCTCAACTAACTTCTTTTAATGACAGGCCCATATGAAAGCTTTAGGTAAACTTTTCCCATTCAAACCATGAGTGAAGGACTAAGGTGTTTTTTTTTCCTCATGATTTTCCTGGTATGATCTGTTGGAGAATGGCTGAAATTCTGCATGGCATACATGTGCAAAGATTGGAACAGTACAATTAGATAAGGCAACTGGGAAAGAGGAAGACAGGAAAGATCAGAGAAGCATTTTGTAATTTATTGAAATATGAGTAGTAGTGCCTCATTTTCTTTTATTAAAGAAGCACTTGTTATTAATCTTCTTTCCTATCTGATAAAATTGGCAGTTTGGTGTGAATTAGTTGGTGATTTTTTTTTTTTTGTAAATGGGAACTAGTTAATTAATTATAGCAACCTGATTTTCCACTTGAGAACCTGACTAAATTTATGATGCCTTTTGTCCCCGAATCCCCATGCGATTTAGGACACCATCTCTGGTCTGTATATGAGTTTGTGTAGGGACTCACCACATTGAGGTAGGCGTTGCTGCCAGTGTCGGTTGGGTATTTGTAGAGGGGGCTGTTCTCTCCAGTGTAGCCCTCCCAGGACCCATGGAGGTCATAGGTCATGACATGGATGTAGTCCAGGTACCTGCAGTCCAGGTAAAGCAGGTAAAACCATCTCGGATGCTCTTCTCCCACACCTCTGCAGGCAAAGACACCCCTCCCAAAGCCTCCTCAACAAGGTCCCTGAACAGCAAGACAGACCAAGGATGAGCGTCTCTTACACGAGTGACACAGAGGAGCTGGGGACACGTGGTCACTCACTGGGACAGCTGGGGGATCTCATAGCCAGCCTGGATGTTGGAGATGCCACCAGCGACTGCGGCCGTGACCATCAGCCTGGGCCTGCA